CCTCCTTATTTACATACCTTTGTTTCTATTTTATCCTTCTTTGATCTCTTTTTCCGTTTCTGCATTTCTCCCTCCTTCCTCCCTAGTCCCTCTTTTCTTTTGAACGAGTTTGTTTTTCCTATTTCACAACAACTATTATCCATATTGGTGGTTATTTAGTCTTTCAGTTTCTCACATTACGGACACAATGTAATATTTACATGTGTGTCCAATTTATTTCACTTACAGGTGTGGTCTCAGGATGCATCCATATACCTAGAAGTGTCTCAGGCTTATTTTTCTTTATGCCTGCGTAGTGTTGCATTGTATTAAAAAAATCTTTTTTATCTGTTCCTCTGTTGATGGGCATTTGGGCTGTTTGTAAGATTTAGCAATTATAAACTGTACTACTATAAACATGGATGCACATGTATAATGATATAATGTGTATAACAAGTTTAATATTGTGATATGATATTTTTAATTCTTCCAGGGAGATACCTAGAGAGGAGTAGCTGGGTAAAGTGGGACTGTATCCTATTTTTTGAGAAATTTCCACACTGATTTCCACAGTGGTTGCACCAGTCTACACTCCCACCACAGAGCTCCTTTTTCTCCACAGCCCCTCCAGCATTTGTTATTGGTTGATTTATTGGTGATAATTATACTTCCTGGAGTGATTTAGAATCTCAACATTGTCTTAATTTGCATCTATCAAATGACCAATTACACGGAACATTTTTATATATTTATTTGCTGTTTTTCTTCCTCTGATAAGTATGTATTCATCTTGTATAGCCATTTATGGACTGAGTCTTTAAATTTGGAGGGATGTCTCATTTTTTTCAAATCTTTATGTGTTTTAGATATTACTCCTTGTCTAATAGAAAACCTGCTAAAATTTTTCCCACTTTTTGGCTTTCTTTTCACTCTATTGATCCTTTCTTTGGCATGCAAAACTCTTTAATAGGATGAGATCACAGTTGTTGATTCTTTGTAGCATTTCTTGTGGGGGAAAAAAGAGGAATCAAGATACAAGGTACAAATTCCCTATGATGAAAGTGATCATTATGTATATTTAAATTCTATTGATAAATTTGCAAATAAGAATAAAAAATGAAAATGTTAGTTTTTCTAAAAATAAAATTTATTTTTCTATCCTAAAAAGATAATGTGACATTAATCAAAGATGACATCAATTGTTGCAAATGTTATTTTGAGAAAGTTTAGAAACTAGAGATGGCCAAAATGAGATTACAATAACGCTATAAACCAAAACAGGCTGATAATAGTTTCAGCAGTTTTTAAAACAGCGAAGAAGAGCTGTAATTCTCTCAGTTTTCTTCAAGTTAAGTAATGACATATTAAAAAGTATATTGTGAAGATTATGTTTAATGGATTAACAAAAAAGAAAATATTGCATCTGATGTTGAATATCAGCTAGTGATTTAATTATTTATGTCTATTGTACATTATATAAAAGAAATGGTTTACAGCAAATTATTGTGGTAAAGAACATTGTACATCCTTCTTATTTCTGCATGGACTATGCAATGAAATTCGATGCCATTTCATTAAAATATATTCACTACTCAAAACACTTATTTTTTGGTACAAGTAACAGCAGTAGAAAAATACATATATGTGTGTGTGTATGTGTTTGTGTGTGTGTGTGTGTGTGTGTGTAATCTCAATGATACTTTTCACCTGTTTGAATTTTCTTAAAATTCAAATTAGTAATTTAAGACATAATTATGATTATGAATATTTTCATGTAAAATAAAAGATTTCAAGCAGAAAACTTCATTTTTGCTAGTTCTTTATCATATTTCCTTTCTGACCTATTATGCACCACATTTTATCTTATTCATTTATTTTTTTCACATTGCAAAATCATGAACTTTTTCTACTTTATTTTTTTAATTCCAATCACCAGCATTTGCCACATAATGTTCTGAAAATAACTGTTAAATCTATCTCAGTTTTTCCATTACTAAAGTATGATTCTCATTGATTTCTAAAATGATAAACCCATGCTTGCTTATTCTCAAATGACACCAGTGATTTGAAACAGGGATAAAATGAGTTGAGTTTAAGAAATCTCTTGTTTAATGTTTAAGAATGTGATTATCTTGAGTTAGTTAGTTGAGTGGTATCTTTCTTTTATGTCCTGAAAAATTACACTGCGCCATAAAAGTGATTTGCAGGTCAAAATCTTGGCCCACTGAATGTCCTGCTTCATAGGGAGATAAAAGGAAGCTCTCAAGAATAGATCAGATCTCCCGTATGTGTTTATTTCACAATGTGCGATTTTAGCTAACTACAGTCATCAGTGGTCTGAGAATATATAGTGGAATATTCAGAAATCACAAAAATGATACTGCTAATTATGCACCTGATGTAGTGTGTCAAATATCACTTTGTGCTGTGTATGCACATCGTATATGTCTGCTCATTAGTCACAGTAGATTTCTTGGCTATCAATAGACTATGTTGGTTTCACATTGCTGTATTCAAATAATTCTTAGGTAACTTAATAATGGCCTCAGAGTGCAAAATACTGAGGCTGGAAAATCAGGTATGTCAAAAAATCTGTAAATTACTTTAAGTGAAACGTTGAGCACAAAGAGAGAGGAAGAAAATGCAAGAGACAGAGACAGAGACATATATATATATATATATATATATATATATATATATATAGGAGAAGGGTCACATTCCCATGATATTTTTACAGTATATTATTGTAATCATTCTAGTTTATTATTTTTAATCTCATACAGTTCTTAGTTCATAACTTAAAGCTTATCATATGTACCTTTGTAGAAGAAAAAAACAACATACATGGAATTCATTGGTTCCAAGCATTCACTGGGATTCTTAGAGCATAGCCCATAGCTAAGCAGAAATTTTTTTTCTGCAAATTATCCTGCTGTTATATTGTTCTTTGTTCTGCCCCATGCACATTCATATATATATATATATATATATATATATATATATGTGTGTGTATATATATATATATATATGTGTGTGTATATATATATATATTTTTTTTAAAATTTTTTTTAAAATTTCAACCTCTTAGATTCCTGAAGCTGAACTCAGGTTGCAAACTGTATTTGTGGAAAGGCAATCACTTGCCTTTGTATAATCCGTACTGATTTTAGATGTCTTTGAAAAACGTTGGAAGTTTATTTTTTTCAATATTTGTTTAATCTTCTTTCCTCTTTGCTTTTCTTAAAGTTCTTATGTGTTACATTTCTTTTTTTTAAAGAGTCTATTTTCAAACTCTGTTTTTCAATATATTGCAATCACACTTGTATTATAGTCTCATCTCATGTTACAATGTATATAGCCTGTCAAAATAATTTAAACTTTTTCTAATGGATATTCATGCTCATCAGATCTTGGAAATGAACAGAACTAATCAGTAAGCAAAATTCTGTGTTTAACTGTACTACTCCATTGAAAACTTAATTGAACTAAATCCAAGTATTTTTAGCTCAATTATTGTTTTTACTGAATTATTATTTGAACAGTGCAAACCAAAAAAGAGTAATTATAACCTTAACATCAGTTGAAAGTACTGAAATAAAATTTTGAAACTTGAGTTTTAAAATTACAGATGTAAATTTTATCCCTTTGTTTATCAAATTCAAATAAAAAAATTTCAGCCACTTGGCAATAAAAATAGAGCCACTTTTATGCAGAAACAAAATAGGGGGCTGATAGTAAAAATTTAGAGAAAAATTTAAGCTAAAATTGGAAGTGAGAAACGGGCAGGATGAAGCCCAACTTGTCTGAATTGGAATCCCAATATTCTTTATTTACCCAGAGGACACCGTGCTCCAACAGAGAGAAAAGTATATTAAGTAAACATGTGGTCACTCACTACAAGCAGGAAACTCAGAAACATCTTAGGAAATGTTGATTTCCCGGGTAAGAGGTTTGTTTCAGATAGAAGTTCTCACATCACCATACATACTATCACAATAAGTTACAGGTACAGTGGCATCATCTATATCCCCAGCCTACTGGTACTGTGGTGTAACAGACTGCCAAGCACTGAAACCAGAATTGTAATCCCTGCCTAACTCCACACAAACCCCAACACAAGCATGTAAACCACCTCTTTTATCTTCAAGAAGACATCAGTGAGCTTTGAAGAGTGGTAAATCTATGTCATGGCTCATTACTTTATAAAATCAATACCAAAAACTTCTTCACTATATAACTTTTGCTTTTAAGAATATTTTTAACATGGATTTATATCACACCTGTTATTTAAATGAAAGATGTACATGATGGTGATATTCTTTTAATGAATGAAATTCGGAAAACTACTTTGCTGGAAATTGTCAGAATATTAGGAAAAAACTTACTTCATATAGTAATCATGACTTATAGTATTATGAAATTGCATTAAAATAATGCTTGTTAGTTGACTGTTATCATTATGTATATCTAAAAATATTCCAATAAAATAAAAAGTAACAAAATTGAATAGTGCTTTTTTATGAAAAAAATTGTGAAATTTGCCCTCAGTTGTGAAATACTGAAAATCAGTAAGTAAAAAGTGTGAGAAACTAATTACTCAATTTCACTCTGGAAATAAGGATACTGATTTCTTTCACAAACTTATAACTGTATCTCTTTGTAGCAGTAAGTATATAGGAATGCAATTATCAGCACACCAGCTTAATAGCCCTTAGGTTCATTGATATCAATGCAACCAATATATTGTCAGTGCAGTAAATACATTTGAGTGATTCCAAACTTATATGCAGTTGCAGTTTTACAGTTGATTTTATTGATATATACAACCTGATAGCATAATTTTAGCAAATTGCCTGTTGTATGATTGATTTTGCAATGTATAAAATGGTCATTTGATTTGTTCTTGAATTATTAACAATGTGAAAAGCATGTATATGGTTTACCTTTGGTCCCAGTTCAGTGAAAATGTTTACTGCTGAAAAGCTTTTTAAATTTTTATGTCATTGTCTTTCATAATTCAGGTTATCTGGAGAGAAAATACCACCACCAATTATCAGCAACAAAAACTGGCTCAGACTGCATTTTGTTACAGACAGCAATCACCGATTTCGTGGATTTAGTGCTCCATATCAAGGTATATTTAATGACTACCTCTGCTTCTCTTGATGTGTAAAATGATGTTGGTATGTACAACTGCATTTTGTGATAGAAAAAATATCTTTGGCGTTTATAAATGATTATTTGAATAGGAAAAATCCTTTTGCTGAGGAAAGAATGTGATCATAATTAAATTACAGTTTTAAAGATAGATATTGTATGGTGTTCAGCATACAGAATATTATGACTGCAAAAAACATAATATGTGACACATAACATTTTACTTTAAAAAATGCTTAGACACCTGGACACTTGATCGAAAGCCATACTACAAAACACTGCTAAACCTCAACAGAGATAAACAGGTTCATTATTTTGGAATCCATTTCCATCCACAGTGAATTTGTTATTGCTAGTTTAATTAACCTCGTTAGAACTATTATCTACCAATTTTAACACCAGACTTAATGTTTAAGAAATTAGATATAATACTTGATAAATTAATGTGAAAAAACTCTTTGGGACAAGCTTATTATGAGGATAGAATATTGTTGAAAATGTAGATTCTACAATGTTTCAGTATTATTATGTAGGCTTAGAGTCATTTTTCCTCAGACTGCTTATGTTAACAATTCATTTCATTTTCAGTGGTGTTTCAGAAAATATTCAGAATGTAGTGAACATTGTCAGTTTTTTTCCCCATTTTTCCATGTTTTTTGTTTGTTTGTCTGTATTTTTGGTTTCTTAAAAAATACTTTCTTCTTTTTTAGCCTTTGGTTCTCTAAGCATTTTGCAAATCTAATATGGTGACTTCAGGCAACTTGTACTTAGGAACTAAAATATTATTAGACCATATACTGTGCTGTTTTCTGGACTAAAATTGAATAATTCTCTTACATTTTCTGGATTAATAACTTCTTTGTAGATGTTTGAGCAGTGAGATTTCATTCAACAATAGCAAAAGATTGTCATTTGTATAGTAACATTCACTCTCATAACGATTCCTAGGATGATAGTATAAAGATTTCAGGAATAGTTCACAGTAGAAAACCTACAATATTTTTTTTTTATTTCAAAAGTTATTAAGTGAAAAGAAAACAACAATAAATATGCCTATAAAGATCTGTAGTTTGTTAACATCTCTTGTAGCAGAAAATTTTGCCCATTATAAAATACCTTTCCAAATTTTTAAAAATGAACACTTATAAAAGTATATTTTATATATTTGATTAAAAATAACAATCCTATGCTTAAAATATGAACCTTGCCATTTTAACCTAGTGTTGCTTTTAAAATTTCAAAGCTTTTAAAAATTTAAAATTTCAAATTTTTTGATCCAGTTACCAATTTCAGTTTCTATGGTTTTCCTACATTGCTTTTAAAAATTTCAAATTTTTTGATCCAGTTACCAATTTCAGTTTCTATGGTTTTCCTACATGCCAGAAATCAGAGGAGTTTTCTTTATTAAAAACAAACATTTTCTATAAATGTTTTTTATCCCCAGGTTGACTATGTCCTTGTAGAGCTGTCAGTCAAAGGAGCTTTTGGTTCTGATTCCTCTTTGTAATGAGTGAAGGCAGATGGCATGGCTGAAATTCAGAAGACTATCTTCTTTATTCATGCCAAATTCACAAACTCTCAATGGCAGGCCCTTTGTTTTCTTTTTGAGTGAAATTAAAGTAGCATTTATTTTATACTTAAATATAAAAACTGGAGAAAAATATGCTTATCTCAAAAATTAAGTGGAGCGATAGTTTTTGAAACGCAACTTCATGGAAATTTTATCTTAGGGTTCTTTCACAGTCTGGAACACGAGAGCTGGTCACTGTGTTCTTCTATTCATGTATCTTAGACTATAGTCTTTTCAGGACTTAACTTGATCTTGTAGCTTTGCCTACCTGATTTCAGCACTAAAGAATGCATGCCGGTGAATTCCATTTGCAAATGGAGAGTATTCTATGGATTACGGCATTGCTACTTTCACCAGAAAAAAAAATAGTTCATATTTGAGTATTTTTAATGTAATCTATATGTAGAGAACACAATGTAAAGTGAAAGATAGCTTTTATAAATCTGTGGAGGGAAATTGCCTGAACTAGCTTTAAATTCTAACTTTTAAAGATTTTATAATAAACTCTTCTAATTATAATATATCAATAATATTCTATGTAGACACCACAAATTAGGTTGTAGGTGTAATTTTTGAAGTGATAATCAACTGAAGCAATTTGAATTTGACACAAAATACCTGTAGTAAGCTAATTCAAATGTCTGAAAAAATAATAATATTGGCATGCAGAAAAAATATCTTCTAGCATAAAAGGGTAATCATAATTATATTTATTCATGTCATTACTTCATTTTAGTGAAATCCGCTTTAAAATTAATGTAAATGGAAAATTTGCGGGGATATGTATGCAAAAACTGAACCAAGTCTTCAGTCTCTTAAGTCAAATACTGAGTACTGAGTAATCAGTGCTGATTTAGCCATACTCTAAAATACTTTAATGGAGTTCCAGCTTTGTAAGACTGGGAATTTTATTCATAACCTTTTTATTTAATGTCGGTTTTTACTAAACATCATGAAATCTAACTACAAGCTACTAAGGGATTCATTCAATCCTAATTAGCTACTTTGTATCCTTTGTTCCTCAGTTGGTGTGTCAGACACATAGCTCCCTGGTTGGCTTAGGCATTGTCCTTAAGTAGGGGTTAGAGACTGAGAATAAAATACTACATAATATTGTTCTAGAACCATTCAGAAGTGGCAGGAAATTTTGTGACTTAAGTAAAATGCCTGTTATATTGAAAATATTTCCTTCTCTGAGTCTTTACATTGAGTATGTTCATGTTTACCTAAAATAAACAGAATCATATCTTTTTTTTTTTTTTTTTGGCCCTCCAGAGTTTATTTATACTGAGAATACTTAATCCTAAAAATTTTATCATTTCTTCTTTGATTTGAAACTTTTGTCCTTATTCTTCAGCTCTCTAATAAAGAAAAACATTTCAATACTATTTTAATGTCTTTTTTTTAATATCGTTCCTGCATTCAAATTCCATTAAAACTCTTCTAATGAGAACTTGAGTTGTGACACGTCTCACATAAATATTAAAACTTTTCTTGCACTGTGATGTGTGGAAGTCCTCTCTCTTAAAATCTTTATATTATCATTACTCGATATTTAGTTTAAATCAAAAAGCAATTCTTTTCCATTTCCATACATGTAATGTAATGTCTTCTTATTTTCTAAATAAAAAGGAGATTTTCACATGACACTTAATTATCCAATACAAAAAAAGGGTACCTCCAAAACATGTTTATTTAAAAATATTGCTTTTATTCATAAGGCTCATTTTTGGAGTATGAAATGTTATTGCACTATTTCTATTTTAAAGTATTCAACTCTGTAATTTCCTTTTTTTAAACGTTCAATCACAAACGTATCTGTGGCATTGATATAATTTTGACATATAAGTTTATGCACTGCAGCGTTTAACTTACTCCAAAAATTTAACTTTATGGATTTTTCTATATTCAGTCATAAAATTTGAATCTAAAAATCACAGTTCAAAAGAAATGTGCTAGGCTTTACATTTCTCACTAACTAAAATGAGGAGCCCTCTTTCTCAAGAGAAAAGCACTATTTCTTTAAACCAGTTTTAAAATAAAGAATTTTTAAAGAAATTTTTAAGTAAAGAAAAATGTAGAAAACATTTTTCTTTCTGTAACAGACATTTTGAAATAGTACACAGAGTCCAGGCTTAAAAATACATCACAACATCCAATAAAAGTTTTGTAAGAAATACCTATGGTTCTCTTTGTTTTCATTGATATGTTTAATTATATTTTATCTAACTATTTTATACATCAATTTTCTTGTGCATTCACATCTGCATTGCTAATGAAAGAGTCTTTTTAAAAAATTTATTTAAAGATACACTAAATAAAATACAAAACAGGTAGAAATGATACATACTTTCAAATAAAAAATTAACAATAAGAAATAATTGATTGATGTTTACATATTGTCCTCTTACAAATAGTTGTTCAAGATACAAAAGTGAAACTTGTAAAGTGGAAATTCAAACAGCGTGACTGCAACCAGTTCTATTCAACTATCCAACAAAAACTTAGTAATATGGTTATTAATACTATACACTTAAACATGCATGTGGTTATCCATATCTTAATTTATGTTGAGATTAAACAAACCAAGCAGGCAAAAATCACTCTGAACAAATAATAATAATATTGCTGGATTTCACATCATGAAATTCCTGGATCAGCACTGGGTACTGCAGTGTCTTTTTTTCTTCAAAGTATTTGTTCATTTCATCATGTGTCATAAGATCAGTTCTCGTAAACTGTTTATAGGTTCTAAGCATGCATGAGTCTTAACATGTAGTCCTGTCCTTTTCTCAGTGTAAAGTGGTAATTTTATTTATGAAAATATTGAAACTGAAACCATTTGAGTACATTGTTAGTAGTACAATAACTTTTGTGAAAATTCAAACACATTACATTTATTTATTTATTATGTATTTCTCACCATAAAATTCTGTTATAAGTTGTAGATGTATTTGACAGTAAACTGGCTAATTATATTTTTTTCTTTTCAAATTTCTCGGAAGGGCAGATTCTATTCTTAGATGCATTCTAATGAATGAATAAAGTACTCTACATCCTAATGCTAACAGTTCTTTTCTTACTTAACTCTAATTGAATAAAAATATAAATTTTTCATGTTGCTAGACATTTTAACATCTATTAATTGATAGTTGAGGCATGCAACTGTAGTAGTTGCATTTCACTATTTGACATGAAATTCATAAATAGAGTAGAATTTTGGGGAAAATATTGATTTTTGCCTTAATCTTGCCCACGTGTTTTGTAATCCTTTTTAATATGGATGTAGGTTAATAATATGTATTAACATTGAATCTACCCAACATTATTGACAAAACTGTTCATGAGACATTGTGGCTTTTGAAGTGATTAAATTCCAATTCCAATGGGAAGATTACTTAAATTTA